CTGAGTCAACCCTGAGCCGGTGAGATTTGAACAGCCGAACTGCAGAACTGCAGTCAGCTGAAGTAGCCCGCAGTGCATTTAACCACTGTGCCACCTCGGCTCTCTCCTTCTCCAGGAAGGAGAGAGGGAGGGGAAATAGAGAAGAGAAGGATGACAGAGGGAAGAAAGGAGGGAGGGAGGGAGGGGAGAAAGAGAGAAGAAAGTGATGGATAAGATAAAAATATGGTGTATGGAGAACGGAAGAGCCAATAATTGCTTTTGGGAGTTGACGGTAAGGTGAATTGATGTAAACATTTAATAATACAATATGATGTTGGCTATGTAATAGTATACATGTGCTTATATGTTATGAAAATGGAAAAATAAAAAAACGTTAAAGTTAAAAGATTCTTCTGCTTAGCCGCAGAACCAGCCTAACGATATGAGTTATGAGTTCCATCCCTGATTAAATCCTTAATTTCTTCGTTGAGATTCAGGCTTTAGCAATACGCGAGAAAAGACAGCCTTAAAGTAGCGGCAGGAAGTTTGCAAGATTCAGACTTGCAAAGTTCTGCAAATGTAGCCTTACAATAACGTAGAGTTAGCTCATCTAGCTGTGTTTCCTGTCTGATTTACCTGGAAGGGCTGACGTTACCATTCATTTTCTCCAAGCTCTACCTACCAGAAGCCTTTCTTGGTTGTTTTCCTTCTCATTCTCTTCTGGAGGTTTGATCAGGTAACAGTGATTGCAACATTTCTTCAGCTCCATCACGATGTTCAGGAAGCCGGAGGTGCTGCCACGTGTCCCCTTGGACAAGGCTTTGTAATTCCTTGTTAAAATCCATCTGAAGGGTCAGTGGATAACAAACATCAGTCTCGGCCCCTTTGACAGCTTCACGAAAGCAAGCTAGCGCATACACAATGCAGAATAATAGAGTTGGAAGGGAACCTTGGGGGTCTTCTAGTCTAATCTCCAGGTTGAACAGACCTTATACAAGTAGTCCTCAAGTTACAACAGTTCATTTAGTGACTGTTCAAAGTTACAATGGTATTGAAAAAAGTACCGTTTCCCTGAAAATAAGACCTCCCCAGATAATAAGCCTTCCCTGAAAATATTGCAACAGAGCAGCAGCCATGAAATGACCATGCTCGCTGCCTCCTGCATCTCAAAATTAATAAGACCTCCATGAAAATAAGGCCAAGCGCTTATTTTGGTGGTCAAACAAAAATAAGACCCTATCTTACTTTCGGGGAAACACAGTAATTTATGACTGTTTTCATATTTGTGACTGTGATTGTGGTCACGTGATCAAAATTCAGAAGTTTGGCAACTGGCATGTATTTATGATGGTTGAGGCGTACCTGGGTCGTGTGGTCATATTTTGCGACCTTCTGACAAGCAAAGTCAATGGAAAAACCAGATTCACCTAATAATCAGGTTACTAACTTATCAATTGCAGGGATTCACTTAACAGCTGAGGCAATCAAGGTCATAAAATGGAACAAAATTCACTTAACACTTGCCTCGCTTAGCAACAGAAATTTTGGGCTCAATTGTGGTCGTAAGTCAAGGACTACTTATACCATCCTGGAAAAAGGGCTGTCCACTCTCTTCTTAAAAACCTCCAGGGATGAAGCACCCACAATTTCTGGAGATGAGCAACTGTGCTAACAGATTGTGGCAATTTTTAGAAATAAATAGCATGACGGCTCTGGGTTAGTTGCAGGGTTGAACCAAGAGGGAGTCAATGCCCTGCTTGAAGTCACTAAGTAATTCTCAGTTAGTCCTGTCTCTTAGCCCAGACACCTTGCAGGGTTCTTGTTGAGACAAAACAAGAGGGGCGCTGCCATCATCTAGCTCACCTTGAGCCTCTCTCAGTAGGCGGAGGAGATTAGCAGAGTTAAAACAAGTTTGATCTTGGTTCCAAGTCATTCCAATTACACCTCTGCCACCCACATTTGCTTCTCCTAGAGTGCTTTTCTATCATACGTTGAGCGCTTTGCTTCTGAACTGAGGCCAGACTGCATCGTTGTTAATTATTCAAATCTGAATGCTGTCAATTTTAAGACATTGTGTTCATTGGCTTATCGATCCCGTACTCGCTCAATCGGCTGTCAGTTTTTAATTTATGTATGTTTATGGGGAGGGGAGGAGTGAGCTTCGATTATAACTCCCTAGGGGCCTTCTTGGGTGACTCGTGATGGCCAATTTGAATGAAAGCCAGCTCAGAATGGCAGACGCCTGCTGAGTTGCAACAGGAGACATCCCAAAGTCTCCAATCTTGCATTTAGGCTGGGGAAGAGGACAAAGATCACTTGGAATCTGATTGGTTGGAGACCAGTAGAAAGAGGTTGGGCAGCCTTTTCCTGTGTGCAGGAAATCCAAGCCCCATGCTAGTTTTACTTCTTTCCTAAGACAAAAGTTACCTTGTGGTGCCCATGCTGAATATTCCTGGCCCACCACCAGAAGAACCCTTACTTGTAATACTGCTTCTGGAGGGCAGACATCTCCACCCGCAGGATCTGCTCCACTTTGGCTGGGAGGGATTTCTCCACGTCCTTCTTCACCCTGCGCAGGAGAAAGGGCTCCAGCACCTTATGCAGGTTCTGGTACCCGTTCTCTCGTCCTCTGCCATGGTCGTTTTCAAAGTCTTCCCAGGATTCAAACCTGACAGCCACAGATAGGGCAAGGGGGTGGGGAAGAGAGAGAGAAGGAAGCCGGAAGAGAGAGAAGGAGAAAGAGGGAGAGAGGGGGAGAAAGGAAAGGAGGGAGGGAGAGAGAGGGAGGGAGGAAAGAGAGGGGGAAGGAGGGAGGAAGAGAGAGGGGGAAGGAGGGAGAGTGGGGGGAGAGAGAAGGAGGCAGAGAGAGAGAGAGAGAGAGAGGGAGAGGGAAGGAGGGAGGAAGAGAAGGAGAAAGAGTGAGAGAGGGGGAGAGGGAGGGAAAGAGGGGGGAGAGAAAGGAAAGGAGGGAGGGAGAATGGGGGGGAGAGAGAGGATGAGAATCACTCAGGCATACTCCAAAACTAATTTTGCCGATTCAAAACGGGCCTTATTGAAGCATTAACTAGTCCTGGGATGGTGAACCTATGGCACGCATGCCACAGGTGGCATGCGGAGCCATTTGTCAGGACACGCAAGGTGTTGCCCTGTCAGCTGGCCAGCGCGCATGTCAGGGACCTTCAGGGGGCTTCCCTGAAGCTCCGGAGGGCCGTTTTTAGTCTTCCAGAGCCTTCAAGGAAGCCTCCTGGAGGTCCCTGAAGGCTCCGGACGACTAAAAACGGCCCTACGAGCAAATCAGAAGTCAGTTCCCAAACTTCTGGTTTGCCTGTAGGGCCGTTTTTTGCACTCCGGAGGCTTCAGGGAAGCTCCTGAAACCTCCAGAGGGCCTCCAGGTGGGCGGGTAGCCTTTTTCCCCCCTCCCCAGGCTCCTATAAAGCCTTTGGAGTTTGGGGAGGGCAAAAGAAACATGCAAAAAATGGGGGGTCGTGCATGTCATGCGTGCATGCGCACTGGTGTGTGTGTCGCACATTGCATTATGGGTGCAGCACGCCCACGCACAACCCCCCTGTGCTCCCCCCGCTTATGGCACGTGAGCCAAAAAAGATTCGCCATTGCTGATCTAGTCCATTCTTCCTTTCTACTGGCAATGTAGACACAAACATGTCACATCAGCTACAGGCAGCCTCATTTATTTCTATGGAAATTCTCGGTCATCCAGGTCATGGTTGTCCCAAATGTGTATTTTTTTCAAGAAGGCAACTGAGCTTTCTTGCCTTTTGAAAAAGCATCTTTGGGGCCTCATTTATTTCATCGCTTAATTTTAACATAGGCTGCCCAACTCCTTAGAGACTCTGGCCAGTGTTGGACATTTAAAAGAGGAAAATTATAAAAAAAATATAATTATAAATTTATGAAAAAATAAAATAAGAAAAGAACATTGTATTTTCAGAAAAGAGATGATAAAACTGATAAAATTCTACAAATTTCTACACATTTTATTAAAAGCTTTCATCAACTATAAAATGCTTCTGTGAATGCTTCGGTTATCTAATAAAATTTGTTATTGAAAAAAAGTACAGATTAAGATTCCTGGCTCTTTTTTGCCACAATAAACTAAGAGATACATATTTTATTCAATAAGTTTTTATTAGGCTTGTATTGGTAACTGCTGTGTAATAATTTGGTTTTCTAAATCTATCTTGCTCTAAAGTCCATTTTAAGCTTTCAGTTTCATTTGCTTTAGCAATTCTTGCACTGTGTGGCAGCTAAAGCGTTACTCCTCAACTCAACTTACTTCTCTGGCATGATGAATTGCAGCAGGGACCACAGCTCCTTCAGGGAATTCTGAAGGGGTGTCCCAGTGATGAGCAGGCGGTGGTTGGACTTGAAGTCAATCAGTGTCTTGTAGAGCAAAGAATCGTCATTCTTCAAGCGATGGGCTTCATCAACACCTAGGAAGGCCCAGTTGATGCTTCCCAGGACGGTCTACAGATGGGTCACAATACAGCAATAATGCAGAACCATTTTAGGGAAGTCCTTTTACATCTGCTCTGGAAAACCTTCACCTGTGTCCCAAGCATGACAGATTGCGATATACAGAATAACAAAGTTGGAAGGGACCTTGGAGTTTTTTTCTAAATTCAACCTCCAGCTCAAGCAAAAGACCCTATACCATTCAGGACAAATGGCTGTCCAGTCTTTTCTTAAAAAACCTCCAGTGACAGGACACCCTCAACTTCTGGAGGCAAGCTGTTCCACTGGTTAATTGTTCACATTGTCATAAAATTTCTGCTTAGTTCTAGGTTTCTTCTCTCTTTGTTTAATTTCCATCCCTTGCTTCTTGTTCTGGTACTTTGGAAAATAGGTTGACCCCCTCTTCTTTGTGGAAGCTTCTCAAATATTGAAACACTGCTATCATTTCTCCCCTACTCCTTCTTTTCACTAGACACCACCAGTTCCTGCAACTGTTCTTTCAGTTTCCATCCCCTTAATCATCTTTGTTGCTCTTCTCTGCACTCTTTCCGGAGTCGCAACATCTTTTTTACAATATGGTAGCGAAAACTGGATGCAGTATTCCAAGTGTGGCCTTACCAAAGCTTTATAAAGTGGTACTAGAACTTCATGTAATCTTGATTCTATCCCACTGTTAATGCAACCTAGGATTACATTGGCTTTTTTGGCTGCCACTGCACTATATTCGATGATATTCAACCCAAGGTAAAATTCTCCTGGTAGAGATATTTCGCCTTCTCCATTTAGCTGAGCTGGCAAAGATCCACACGCAATCTAGGGTTTCTTCTATTATGGATAGGGAACCACAATATTTCTGGAATGAGTACTCTTGACTCCAGATATTTTTACTATCAAGAAGCTGCATAGAAGAAGGAGCATCCCAAATGGGAGCCCAACATGGCTGCTTACTGCTTCCCAAGGTTTTGTAAAGACGTTATGTGGAAATATTCCTTTCTATATCAAGGATATAGAAAGTTCACTCACACACCCACACCCACACACCCAAGGTCTGTGGTTCCCAAGTTCTCCAGCACCATTCTGCCTACATCACAGTCCTTGGAAACCTCTTGGACCAAATGCTGAAGACAGAGCCACATCTTCTCATGAATTACAATTGGACAACACACTGAAGTGTGGTGCAGAATTAAAGCAGACTGAAGATAGCTTACAAAGCAAAAGATAATTGCTCAAACATCTTAAGAGCAAATACAATGCAGATGTTACTCATATTGGTTCTTTGAATTCATGGTATTATGATCACTGTCTTTTGCACCTTAATGCTCCCAAAACATTCCTGGCTATCAGGAGACAGGAAGGAAGGAAGGAAGGAAGGAAGGAAGGAAGGAAGGAAGGAAGGAAGGAANGGAAGGAAGGAAGGAAGGAAGGAAGGAAGGAAGGAAGGAAGGAAGGAAGGAAGGTCCTACCAAGGAATGGATGACTTCTCCAGAAGCAGCTCACCAACTACTGGTATGAAAATCTAGAACTTTCTGAAATATCTTCACTTCCAGTAGCAGCCACACTTTCTGAGCCAAAAATGTGAGGGCAGACAGAAGAAAGAAGATGACCAGGGTTTCTCTTTCCTCCAAGCAGAAACTGCCTTGGCCCATCACTCACCTTGTCTTTCAGGAGGATCTCGTAGGTTGTAATCAGCACATTGAACTTCAGCCGTTTGGTTTGAGAGTGGACCCACTCATACTCACGGATCTGAAGCAAAATAAATGAATGGGTCGGTTTGGCAATTTGACAATGTGTGAATTTCACCCCCCCCCCCAAATTCCTGCAATCAGCAAATTATACCATCTAATCATCCAACAGCTCTTCTTTTTTGTATGCAAAAGCCTTCACTCCACTCTAAGCCAAAATGAAATTTGATTTTACTTTTAGCGATAGCACTTAGACTTATATACCACTTCATGGTGCTTTACAGCCTTCTTTAAGCAGTTTACAGCCCTCTCTAAGCGGTTTAAGGAGTCAGCACCTTGCCCCCAACAACCTGGGTCCTCATTTTAACCACCTCGGAAGGATGGAAGGCTGAGTCAACTTTCCTGGCAGTTGGCAGAGTTAGTCTGCAATAATGCATTCTAATCATCGTGCCACAATGGCTCTTATACTGTCCGGAGAAAGCTGTCAGCTGTAGTCTATTCAACAGGGTTAAACAAAGAGTGGATCTGAGCATCCATGCCAACTACCCAACACATGAGAAAATGGCCCCTAGGTTGTTGAAGCATTTCCATGCCCAGTACCCAGATAAACCTAACTAATTGTTTATATTTCTCTTCTCTTTTCTCTTCCAGGTGGAGTTTTCTTTCTCCTACGGGGACAGCATGTCAGGTCCCCATAGATCCCTATCAGAATGCTAGCATTCTGGCAGGGAGGGCCCGGATGCCAGTTTACAAGTTTTTCTTGTTTCTGGTCCTTCCTTTATTTTGATGCACCCTACTGGGAATGGGAGGAGGAAGGGAATAGCCTGGGGCCATCTGTTTTGACTCAGCTCCGAGGAACCGAGCAAATGGCACCTGAAAACAGCTTCCTATCATCTTCTCAGCTCGAGTTCTCACAACAACTTTGCACCTGTGGATTGCCTCACCTCTGGACTAGACTAAGAAGAAGGTGTTTCTACAACTTTTAACCTAACAGTTTTGAACGGGAATTTCAGAGCCTGCCTTGCTTTCCTTGCTATCACTATCTCCCAATAATGGCACTTTCATTTTTATGTCATGCACCCTGCAGCTCACCCCACAAAACTGTAGAAAAAGAGAAACGTCTTGTCCTAGTCCCATTCAACCCCTTCCTCGATGCTAGTTTACGCACAGCATTCCTGCTCATCTGATCTCCGATGTACACAACCACGTTGACCTCTGGGGCCCAGATCTCAAACTCCCTCTGCCATGAGGTTAGGGTTGATAAGGGCACCACGATCAGAAAGGGGCCATAGAGCTGGTGCTGATAGAAGAGGTAGCAGAGGAAAGAAATGGTCTGGATAGTCTTCCCCAAGCCCATCTCATCTGCCAGGATGACACTGTTGTTCCTGAGGAAGCAGACAAGGAAAGGGGTCAAGCCAACACAGCCATATTTTTCAATGTGCTCACTTTTTTCTTTTCCCTTTCAATTCTGGAGAACATCTGGAGGCAGAATATTCACCAATGCCTTCCATTGAGGATCTATATACTGCATGAACCAGAAACAAGGGCTGAGAAAATATCTACAGACCCCTCATATCCCGGACATAATCTATTTCAATTCCTCCCCTCAGGATGCCGTTATAGAGCATTGCATGCGAAAACAACCAGAAATAAAGATAGGTTCTCTTCTCCCCCCCCCCCACTCCCTCCCGTGCCATCACTCTGCTGAACACTTAATTCCCACAGCACTGTCTCACTTCTCACCTTTTCTCATCTTATCGTCTTTCCTGCTATCTTCTCCTATTGTTTTTTACGATTTATCAATTGTTGTTTGTAATTTATAATTAATGATTGCAACTATGACTTATGACCTAGGAACTATTATTTGCTGTTCATGTGTGCACTGTGAGCTAATGCACCAGAGGCAAATTCCTTGTGTGTGCAATTGCACTTGGCCAATAAAGAATTCTATTTGCACCTCACAAAGCATCTGCCAGGGTTCACTGCATAAACAGGGCATGTTATCCTCCCCTCAGTGTGACTGCTGAGTCACACACCAAACTGTAGGTCGCGTCGCGATCAGTGGTAAACTAAGGGCATATATTGTTCCAGTATCTGATTTTTTCCCCCCTATAAACGATGCTGCACTTCAATGGTTAGACGCCCTAGGCCAGCGATGGCAAACCGTTTTTGGCTAGCAAGCCATAAGTGGGGGGGGGGAGCGCAAGGAGGTGGTGCGCAGGCATGCCGCGCCCATAATGTAATGCACAATGTCCCCCTGTGCACATGCATGCATGAGAGTCACTCTCCCCATGTTATGCATGCTTTTTTCACCCTTCCCAGGCTCCAGAGGCTTTATAGAAGACTGAGGAGGGCGAAAATAGCCTCCCCACCCCGGAGGCCCTCAGGAGGCTTCCCTAAAGCCTCCAGAGGGCCTCCGGAGAGGGGAGGCTCTTTTTGCCCTCCCCAGGCTCCTATAAAGCCTCTGAGGCCTGGGGAGGGCAAAAAATGGCTTTAAAAAAGGCTGAACTCAGCTGGCCAGCACATGCATGCGCACTGACCAGCTGACAGGGCAATGCCTCGCGTGTCCTGACAAATGGCTCCGTGTGCCACCTGTGGCACGTGTGACTTAGATTCACCATCCTGGCCCTAGACATTGGTATCTCATTATAGATCTTTTTTAGTGTTTATATTATATTGTGCTTTATTAATCTAGGTAAAGGTAAAGGTTCCTCTCACACATACAGTATGTGCTAGTCGTTTCCGACTCTAGGGGGTGGTGCTCATTTCCGTTTCAAAGCCGAAGAGCCAGCGCTGTCTGAAGATGTCTCCGAAGTCATGTGGCTGGCATGACTAAGTGCCAAAGGCACACGGAACATTGTTACCTTCCCACCAAAGGTGGTCCCTATTTTTCTGCTTGCATTTTTTACATGCTTTCGAACTGCTAGGTTGGCAGAAGCTGGGACAAGTAACAGGAGCTCACTCCATTATGCAGTGCTAGGGGCTCGAACCGCCGAATTGCCAACCTTTATGATCGACAAACTCAGAGTCTTAACTATTGAGTCACCACGTCCCTTTTTTCATTTTATTTATTAATCTACTTGCCTCCAAAAAGTTGCAGGTGCTCCAATGTTAATGGTTTTATAAGAGATTGGACAACCATTGTCTGAAACGATATAGGGTTTTCCTGCCTGAGCAGGTTGAACCAGAAGACCTCCAAGGTCCCGTCCAACTCTATTATTCTGGGTGAAACGTTCGTATATGCTGCAATTCCATGGATGATATACCCTATGCTAAATAAATAAATAACCATCTGAGCACATTGGGAAGAGACACTGCTTCAGGTCATCAAAAGAGGAGCACCCAAAGCCTCTTTCTGGACTATGTTTTTGGGAGGACGGATAAGAAGTACCAGCCCTCACTTACTTGCACCAAGAATGAGCCAACCAATTCAGGCCCTCCAGCTGATAGTCACGGAGTTCCAGATTCTCCCCACCAATGTAGGAAGGTTGGTTCTTCAAGGCCACAAAACGGGGTCTTTGCTTCAGCACCTAAGAGGAAGACATCTGTCAATTCTCCCAGCTTCACAAACCTGCTGTTCCGGGAAATTATAGGTGGTCCTTGATTTATGACCACAATTTTGAGCCCAAATTTATATCGCTAAGCAAGACATATGCTAAATGAATTTTGCCCCATTTTACGATCTTTCTTGCCACGTTTGTGAAGTGAATCCCTGCAGCCACTCAGTTAGTAACACATTAGTAAGCTGTGAATACAAGTTCCCTATTGACTTTGCTTGTCAAAAGGTCGCAAAAGGGGATCACACGACCCCGGGACACTGCAACAGTCAGAAGTATGAAGCAGTTGCCAAGCTGAATTCTGATCACATGACCATGGGGATACTGCAACGGTCAGAAGTGTGAAAAAATTGTCATGTCACTTTTTTCCATGCTGTTGTGAAAACTGTTGTAAATCAAGGACTACCTGCACTGCATGTAACCTACCTGTATTATCTGATTGCATTCTGTAAAGGAGCCCAAGGCATAATTCTATACGGTTACTATATCATTGCTACAACAAGAAGTCTAAAAATGGCCCAGGACTTTTGCACAGTATTGTAAATCTTGTAAATAAACAACATATGGCTCAACTGTCCTATCTTTAGTTTGCAAGAACATAAAATTTTGTGATACGAAGGAAGGGAGGGAAGATCTGCAAATGGTGCCTAATTTTCCATGTAAAAAGCACAATATTCATTTTAACAAATTTAAGCTGAATTTAACAGCATCCTTCTTCAACATAGAAAAGTGGGCAGAAAAACACTAATCTGCCTTCATGACTCTGTTCGCTGTCAGAACAACACTATTTTAATGATAAGTCATCTAAGAGGGGAAAGAGAACCTTAATTTGCATTCAGTACATTGTATTTTCAATTATGCAGTTGCTATAGGCCTCAATTGCCGTGAACTTTGTATTTTGGGGAAGCAGCGCCACCCCCTGCCCAAGAGGAGAATATAGGCCACGTGAGAACTAGTTATTCAGAGCCATGACTCTGCTGAACACCTAATTCTCACAGTGTGGTCTAATATGTGTATTTATCCATATAGTATGACTGTAGTATTATTATTTATCCTTCTTAATATATTCTTCCACTTATTGGCATGATGATGATGATGATTCTGTTGCTTTGTATGTACGCTGAGTGCTTCTGCACCAGAGACAAATTCCTTGGGTGTCTTAATCACATTTGGCCAAATAAATAATTCAATTCAATTTAAATGGAAGCCAAAATGGGAAGAGCAACCTAAGGGGTTGTCATAAAGAAGAGGGAGTCAACCTATTCTCTAAACCACCTGAAAACAGGACAAGAAGCAATGGATGGAAACTAATCAGGGACAGAACCAACTTAGAAGTAAGTAGAAATTTCCTGACAGTTAGTACAATTAACCAGTGGAATGGCTTCCCTCCAGAAGTTGTAAATGCTCCAACATTGGAAGTTTTTAAGAAGAGATTGGACAACTATTTGTCTGAAATGGTATAGGCTTTCCTGCCTGAGCAGGGGATTGGACTAGAAGAACTATAACGTCCCTTCCAACTGTGTTTTTCTGTTAGACAAACCTTGCAGTCTCGAGTAGGCATGGCTTTGGAGTTGTTCCTACAGTTGAAGCTATCGATACAGTGCTGGAATTTTTTGCTGATCAGAGCTTCGTCTTCCCAGCTACATTCTGCGTAGGGAAGTCCCATCCACTTGCAAAGGTACTCTGGCTCATTAGAGGAGGACTTGCGATTGTGAACTGCAAATATTGGAGAAGGGGATAGAGGGGGAAGGGATGAAGAAATGCATGACAAAAGCCCAGTCATCTCCTTAATGGGCATGACTGAAATATCCAGCCAGGGATATTTGAGTAAAATACTTGACTGAGTATTGCAATCAGACATCTCTACCAATCTATATCATTAAACAAAGCATGTAAATCAGTAAAATGAATGAGTCACCTTACCTAGAAATTCAGTTCCAGGATTTGGCGATTTGTTTGTTTTCACCGCTGCACAAGAAATGAGAAAACAGCATCCATAAATGTAATTATTAAATTATTTATTTAATTGACATGCTGCTTTTATTATTATTTTTGAATAACAACTCAAGGTGGCAAACATATCTAATGCTTTTTCTTCTTCCATCCTTTCCCCCCCACAAAAATAACCTTGTGAGGGGAGAGTGACTCGGTCAGGTCTGCCATCTTCAGCTTGGCACCTTGCTGGCATCCTGCCATCAAAGGCTAGGAGGAGGGGGACAAGGGAGGGGGAACAAATGGGCAATTTGTCAATCCTGAAGTGAACCTGGCTGAAGCCATCTTGGAGGCTTCAGGGTTGTCACACAATAGAGGGAGGGGGGATGCATTTGGTTCTAAAATGACTAGGTTAGCACAAGACAAAATATGACCATTTGTGAGTTCTTTTTGTAAAGATGTGAATAGAATCAAGGAAAGGTGTTTTCAGGAAGCATGCAATAAGTGTTTTTTTTTTAAATTTGACTAAATCCTAGCTGTCTTTGGAACAAATTTAGGATTTTTGCCTAAATTGGATAAACTGCCTCGGGGTAACATTTGACACTGGACACACTCATTGCCAGGGGTCCATTAAGCTGCTGGCTTGAGTTTATAGGAATTGTAGTCCTAACACACCTTGGTAGACATTCAAAACCATTTCTTCTCAGAATTTGTAAAGCTTTGACCATGTGGAGAAGTACAACTCTCACAATATTTGGGAATTGCCAATTCCCAGCAAGCTCTCTGCATCCCTGGAGTTAACCTTGTTAAGCCAGTTTTTTTAAGGAAACACTTTTTAAGAGACAAGGGAATGTGCTGCAGAGCAAATTACAAGTTTTAATGTGTTTTCAAGAATGGCTCTGGGCCCCGAGTTGTTCTTAGAAAATTACAAACGGTGGCTGGTTGGAATCCAGGCCTTTCCTTAAAAGTGCAGTCAGCTGCCCAGAAAACCCAAAAATAGTAGCAGGAAAACCAGCACAATTGGCAGATGCCACCGGGCAAGGTGGATGCATCCTGTTATTGTGCAAATGATGCTTCAGATGTCATGTTGCAAGGACACAGCTGCATTGGTTGCCTTTTGTTGTGGTTGGTTATGGGTGTCTATCTCTCCAGGTGAACGGCCAGGGGCAGAACCACACAGTGTAAGCACCACATTACAATAGTCTACCAAACTTTCAGGGTAGCCCTTTTTGCAAATTTCAATATGCCCACAATGCCAACAAACTTGCCTATAGGTAATTGTTGACTTTTGACCACAACTAAGCTTAAATTTTCCATTAGTAAGCAAGATAGGTTTGTCCCATGTTAAGACCTTTTTTTAATCACAGTTTAAGAAAATCACTACAGTTCTTAAATTACTAACGCAATCAAGTTAATCTTGCTTCCCCATTGACATTGTTGGTCAGAAGACCAGCACAACAGTATATGACCCTGGGACACTGCAATCGTCATAAATATGAGTCAGTTGTCAAGCATCTGAATTTTCATCACATGACCATGGGGATGCTGCAACAATCCAAAGTGCGAGCAATGATCGTAAGTCATTTTTTCACTGCCGTTGCAACTTCAAATGGTCACTAAGCGAAATGTTATAAGTCAAGGACTCCCTTTGTGGGGGTTTTTTTCTCCTGCTTCTTTCATTCATTCTCAAAAAAATATTTCAAAAGAAAATCCCATCAGCTTCAACACCCTTAAATGCCCTCGGTTTTCAGCCATACAAGACACACCTTCCCGAAATATAGATGAAAGCATCATTCTGCTAAGCTATGCATTACAAGCTGACAGCCTGACTTTAATAATGGGGGGAGGGGGCAGTGGGGATAGGGATGTAGGAAGGGAACTAGGGGGAATTGAAACCAAGCCATCCTGTGGGAAGCCCCAGCCATCTTAAGGTTACACTAAAAGAATGCGGACAGGCTCCATTTCTCAAACAATTTGTTAATACCTAATTTCGCAATCACTGATAACCAGGGGACTGTCCAGAAACCAGGGAAAGTTTACTATATCTTTTGTGCGTGAAAATCTCAGATCCAGCTTTGCCTCTTCTGTAACAACTTTGGCTTTTAGTAGGTTTAGGTTTATTGGATTTATATGCCGCCCTTCTCCCAAGGATTCAGGGTGGTGTACAACTTAAAAGAAAACACATATTACAAAAATTAAAAGAGGCATTAAATAAAGTATCCAAAAAAAAAAACCACCCCAATTGATATTTACAATAAAAATTTAAAAATTGAATTAAAATTAACAACCAAATTAATCCTATATTTTATTCTATTCAGGCCAGGCCGGCTTGCTGGAAAAGNAAAGTATCCCAAAAAAACCCCAATTGATATTTACAATAAAAATTTAAAAATTGAATTAAAATTAACAACCAAATTAATCCTATATTTTATTCTATTCAGGCCAGGCCGGCTTGCTGGAAAAGCCAACTTTTTAGGGCGCATTGGAAGGACCGGAGATCGGGGATTATGCAAAGCTCCGGGGCAGCTCATTCCAGAGGGAAGGCACTCCCACAGAGAAGGCTCTCCCCCTGGGGGTCGCTAGCCAACACTGTCTGGCCGACAGCACCCTAATAAAGTATACTTTTGGCTAAACAGGTGGCAGGAGTCTTTCTTTCCCAATTGACCAAGTTGGGACGGTTGACAGAAGGGGTTCAATCAGAAACTCATGGGATACATTTCTGCCTCGGCCCCAATAGCCTGATTCCTTTTTAACCCCAAACTCACCAATCACTCTTTCCACAATCTGGTACTGTTTGTTCAACTCAGCCGCCAGTTCCTGTTGGCAGTTGAAATACTCTACGTCTTCTGGGGTGACCTTTTCCAACCTGGGTACAAAAATAAAAAGAACAAATCAGGGTTTGTTTGTTTTTTGCAACAGGCATGTTATTCTGATCTTTCTATTGCACCAAACTTTTGGAAGTGAGGCTGGGCACACCCCAAATCTCATAAAATCTCTAATGAAAATTCAGCTTTCTTAAATTGTTTACAAAATATGAGTGGCTTGATGTTCACTGAAAAAATAGGACTTTTTAAAAAAGAAAGTTCAAAAACTAGGTTTTTTTAGAAAAGTAAAAATGACTGGAATTTCCTGGAATTGAGGCCAAGTGGAATAGCCATGTAAAACTTTATGGCTGTTATCTGAAAAAGTGGTTGCAGTCAGTTTCAAAGCCATTTGATTCCATATAGGAAAGGCTTCTGTATCCTTGGCAACCTAGAAAAAGCTATGTCCCCTTTAGGAGCAGAAATCAGGATCCTGACTACTATAGAGATGCAAAGACTTAACGCCTTTTGAGACATGAAACTGTGCAGCACGTTTAGCCAATTTCTAAAGATATGGGAAGGACACCGTTTACATATCTTGGAGTGATGTCTGTGTCTGCAGGCAGTATTTTTTACAAGGAACTTTAGATGTTTTTTTGTTTTAAATCCATCTCATTGGAGTGTTTCTATCTAATCTGGTGGAGATCCATCAGTTTTTAGTACAGATAATCCTCGACTTACAATTGTTGTTTTCGTGACCATTCAAAGTTACAACATAACTAAAAAAAGTGACTTTTCACACTTACGACTGTTACAGCATCCCCATGGTCAGTCACAGGATCAAAATTCAAACAGTTGGCAACTGACTTATATTTATGATGGTCCCAGTGTCCTGGGATCACGTGATCCCCTTTTGTGACCTTCTGACCAGCAAAGTCAATGGCTAAACTATTCATTTAATAAACATGAAGCTAACTGTGGCAAGAAAGGATTAAAAATGGGGCAAAACTCACTTAAAGGTCTCGGTTAGCAGTATACATTTTGGGCTCAAAAAAAAAATAGCTTGAGAACCAGAGATCGATCTGGGAACTCCTGTTTTATAGGAAGCCCATAATTTTAATTACATTCTTAGCAGGCCAGAAGAAAGAAAAGCCTACCAACTGTTGATGTCTTCTTCTTTCTTCTTGAAGTTCTCCAGCTTCTTGATGCCTTTCACTTTCTGCTGCTGCAAGGAGTCCTCACTTTCCCACGTGCTATGGATGTACGACCAACCTTTCCATTTAACTAAGTACTGCACTTCCCCTTCCTCCTTTTCTGGGTCAAAATCGGCACAGGGATCACCGTTGGCTTCTGTTGCGTAGACAGTGGTGGAGGCCCCAATGGCTGCCAAAGGAATAGAGGGGAAAGTAGGTCAAATTTTGCAAAATGGTCTTGGGACTTTGCTCCTATGGAGGGTTCTAATCAGTTTAGCTGTACTCAACTTCCAAGAAATTCTATTTCATTTCTTCTACTAAAAAGTGGGCCAGCCCTTCGCCCTCCTTGGAAATGTTCTATTTTTGACTGTGACAGACTGTGGTGGCACAGTGGTTAGAATGTGGTACTGCAGGCTAGTTCTGCTGACTGCTGGCTGCTAGTAGTTTGGCAGTTCAATTCTCACTGGCTCAAGGTGGACTCAGCCTTCCATCTTTCTGAGGTGGGTAAAATGGGGACCAGATTGTTGTGGACAAGATGCTGACTCTGTAAACTGCTGAGAGAAGGCTGTAAACCACTGTGAAGTGGTATATAAGTCTAAGGACTGCTGCTACTTCTATTGTTCTCAATCTTTGTTGTGCTTCTCTATGGCTCTGAGAGTTTTCCCAAACATGCTTATTCCAGAACTAAAAAGCCAGGTCTTTTCAATACCTTAAAGGTCCTGTTCAGAGAATTGGCTTGAAGGATCAGTTGGTTGTCAGGATAAGGTCTAAAGGCCTAATGGTGTTTATACTGGCAAAGCCTTCCCACTCTACCCTTGATTTGGTCTGCACTCAGAGGTCTTTATAAAGTAAAAAAACAACAGTCAGTTTGCCTTGTTCAAGAGAACCCTCCCTTTTGCAATACAAAGCAAGTTTTTATAAAACCTTGTTTGCTATGATAAAGCAGTCGTCCCTGGAAAGAAATCTCCAAACATAATATGCTTCTAACTCCCAAACTGGAAATTTTGCAAGCTGTATCAATAAAAGAGAATATTTTTACTTCAGAATTTAAATGAGGGATCCTTGGTGCTCTCTGAGCTTGGTGGTTTTCTTGCAGACGTTTCATTACCCAACTAGGAAATATCATGAGTGCTAGGAGGGAGTGGGATTTGTAGAGGAGGAGGACGATGACTATGGGGTCCTTGGTGATTTCTAAGCTTGGTGGTTTTCTTGCAGACGTTTCATTACCCAACTAGGGAATGTCATCAGTGCTAGGAGGGAGTGGGATTTGTAAAGGAGGAGGAGGAGGAGGACTGTGAGATCCTTGGTCCTCTCTGAGCTTGGTGGTTTTCTTGCAGACTTTCATTGACCCAACTAAAAAATATTCAGGAGCACTGATATTACCTAGTTTGAGTAAAGAAATATCTGCAAGAAAACAATCAAGCTCAGAGAGCACCAAGGACCCGTCTGCAAACTGTGTTTGCAGAGTCAGGCATTCTAGAAGCAAAGGTGTTAGGGTTAGGGAAGGATTCAACTTGGAGAAGGGTGCTTTTAACTAGGTGCCTATGCCTACTAGGAAGAAACACTGCTAGGAATATCTGAATCCAAGGAATATTTTCTTGCACTTACCTCCTTTCTTGCCTATTCTCTTCTCCAGTACTTTCTCAATGGTTTCACTGTTACTCTGCTGCTCCTCTGCCCCTTCGCCTGTCATCTCAATCAAGTCGTCTGAATCGGTCTCAAAGTCATCGTCTTCCTTGTAACTGTGCACAAGACGATGCACAAGGACAGTTCAGGTTTTTCCTTCTGCCAAATGGGTTCTCCATGTCAATAAGACTGGGTTTCCCCCACAACCTTGGCCACTTCCAGGTGGGTGGACTTCAACACTTGTCGCCAACAGCTATTCTAACACTGGAGTTCTGGGATTTGAAATCCACACATCTGGAAATAGCCAGGACTGGGAAGCAATGAACCAAAGAGATTATTTTTATAAGTTAGAAAGAGAGCTTAACATCTCCAAGCCAGCCTGTGCTCAAAGGAAAAATTCTTGATGGTAAGATGGCACAACAGTGGAATAATCTAGGGAAGTTGTGGGTTCATCTGAAAGTGAACAACAGCTTCTCATGAATGGTTTAATTGGCTTTCCTGCCCATTGTAGAGGATTGGATTAGATCAGTATTTCTCAACCTTGGCAACTTAAAGATGAATGGACTTCAATTCCCAGGATTCTCCAACCTGCTCCAGGACATTGCATAATCTTTGTTCACATACTAAGGAAAGTGATGGCTTGCTCAGTGATGGTAAATGGCTTGGTAAATAAACCATAATGACATAGGCTCACATATTAATTTAAGACATAACCAGGTTAGTTCATACAATGTATGATGGCTGGGTTCAGACAAACAAATCACCCCATATTGCTGAGCATGTGTGAACCCAGTTTTAGGTTTTTCTGCCATTACCTGACATTTTTGGCTGCTCGGCGCTTAGTTTGCCTTTTGGGGGTCTCATCCTCCTCCTCCTCATCTTCCTCTGATGATTCGGTTTTCCGCCGCCTCTTCGACCGCTGGGGTTTGCTGCTCCTTTTTGGGAGGGATTTGCTCGCTGCTCTGAAATGAAACAGACCGATATAGCAGTAGTAATAGTAGAAGTAGCAATAGCAATAGACTTATAGACTGTTTCACAGTGCTTTGCAGCCCTCTCTAAGCAGTTTACAGAGGAAGAAGCAGAAGAAGAAAAAGTAGAAGAAGCAAAAGCAGTAGATGAAGAGATAATTGGGAAGATATTGGACTGTGCAGAAATGTACACATTTACATTGAAGATTAAACAGAAAGAACATAGAGAATACTACCAAACATGGAATTTATTTTATCAATGGCTGGAAAAAAAGTGGTAAAGATTAGGAACATAATTTCTATTGTCAAGTAAAGAAACCAACCGCACAGTATGGTGTTTATTAAGCACTAGTTAAATGTAATAGTAGAAAATTAATAAAACTTTATTTTAAAAAAGAAGCAGCAGCAGAAGCAGACCAGAAGAAGCAAAAGCAGGAACAATAGCAATAGTACTTAGACTTATATACTGCTTAACAGTGTTTTACAACCCTCTCTAAGAGGTTTACAGAGTCAGTATATTACCCCCAACAATTTGGGTCCTCATTTTACCAACCTCAGAATGATGGAAGGCTTGAGCCGGTCAGGCTCGAACTGCTGGCAGTTGGCAGAATACAATACTGCTTTCTAACCACTGCACCACCACGGCTCAGTGGTTGTAATAAGCTGAGCATTCTTTAACACCAGACCAGGGAATCAACCCCATAGGAAGGCTAATTTTATTATTAGGTTTCCTCTGTTTAGTCATGTTTGACTCTAGGGGCTGTGCTTGCCATTTCTTAGCTGAGGCAGCCAGCATTGTCTAAAGACATTTCCGTCGTCATGTGGCCAGCATGGCTATACACCAAAGGCACACAGAATGCTGTTACCTTTCCACCAAACTGGTACCTATTAATCTACTCGCATTTGCTTGTTTCCGAACTGCTAGGTTATCAACAGCTGGGCAAGTAAAGGGAGCTCACCCTGACTGCACAGCGCTGGGGTCTCAAAACTGGGCTGTCAGCTTTCCAGCTGACAATCACAGCAACTTTAACCACTGAGCCAGTTATTGAGACTGTCTCAAATAGCAGAATCTTGCAGGTTTGACGGTGCTGGACCTTCTCCTTTTTATACCATAGTGAATAGTCTACACCTCAGCCACTTCCAAATGCTATCATTGTTTTGTACTTTAAAAAAAAATGTTTCCATCCTTTTTGCCTGGGCAATGATTCTTGTATATTTCAATCAAGAACATCTTCCTTAACTGTTGTCCTATGCTAGAAACTTTTGCCATTCTTCTGTCTTCCCGCTAGGCAAAGCTTCCATCATTGCATTCAGAATACCAACCCACAACGAAAGCGTGGAAGAAGAAGGTCTAGAGTGGGGAAGAATAAGGGCAACTGCAAGGAAGGCAGTATCGGTTTTCTCACCTTCTTGAACTAAGTCTTCTGGACCTCACTTTCTTCACTTCTTGTTCACTTTCACCACTGGAGCCTTGATCTTCAATATCATCTTCTTCTTCATCCCCAGATCCCTCCCTTTTCCATTTACCTCTGTGTCTATAAAAGTTGATAAGGAGTATAAGGGTTAATGACCATCGTTATGATCCATTATTGTGGCTGCTTTTACATGCCAACTAAATAACAACCCCTCCCCCAAATATGTAAGATGGCCTAGATATACAGAATATTCATCTAATGTTAAGACAATTAAGTTATTAACTAGGGCTATGCAGAAATACATACATAAAGAATGGGAAACCTCCTTAAAGTAGCTGCAACTTTCCTCGAGATGACATGACTGCCTTTTGTGGCAACCTCCGATTTCAGGTAAGGACAAGGCTGCTTTAAAGAGCTAAAAACAGGTGCTTTGCTCCAAAGCACCATTCAGAAAGTCCCCAGTTAGCTCTATTATTAACAATGACATATGTTCAATTAACAGTTCAATTAAAATCACACCCATTCGACTAAACATGCACAATCCAAGTTACCCCCATATTTAATACGCCTGGCAATGGAACGTTCTTTTAAGTACAAAGAGACATTAGGTCTCATAACTAGGATATCATTTTAGTTTCCAGCTAATATTGAGGCTATTGGGGAGGCGAGTCCACAAGCCACATATAATCGCCCGAGGAACTTCTCAACCTTAGCACATTGAAGATATGTGGACTTCACAGGCTGGCTAGGGGTATTCTGGAAGCCGCAATCCACGTGTCTTGAAGCTACCAAGGTTGAGAAGCATTGGTCTAAAATGGGGTGAAGCTGAGCAACAGAAATCTCGGGTCGTAAAGTGAGGGCTACCTGTAGAGATGCAAGAATCCTTTACAAAAAAGGAAAACACATTTGTTTCGGAAACGAGGCGGAGTCCTTGTAACTTACATTTTTCTCACTTGCCTTGAACTTCTTCTTTTGGGACTCTCACTTTCAGACTCGCTATGCCCCTTGAATGGAAAGAGAGAAGGAGGGAGAGAGAGGGAAGGAGCAATAAGAGAGATTGACGGCTGCATATTTCACTTGCAAATATTCTTGGCATCCCTAAAGGATGTTGGACATGCCTTGGCTCACTCCTCCCAGATTCAAAGCCAACACAATCCATAGGGAGGCATTTGCTACCACACAGCGAATAAATAGGCAACACCCTTTTTGGCCCACAATCCCAACAATTCTGTGGTGTTGTGTTTGTTTCGTTCATTTTTTTTATAAAAAAAAAAACAGGAACTCTGTTGCATCATGAATACAAGTGGGCAAAGGTACTTGAAAAAGAAACACAAATTGAAGACAAGGGGATCAAAGAATAGCCAAAAAGAAGAAGGAAGAGGCATTAACAGTAGCAACACACCAAGGCTTTCCAAGTGTTGCAGAAGACAGGATGCATTTGATCTACTGATGATGTTACCTAGTTTGGTAATGAAACATCTGCAAGAAAACAACTAAGCTCAGAGAGCACGAAGGACCCAACAGTTCAACTCTGAGCCATAAATATTCTCTTCTATCAGTTTAGGTGACTGCTGTACCTGGTTTCAAAGGCACATGATGAGTCATACTCCAAAAATTATGAGGCATCGGGAACAACTCCCTCCTCCCAAATAAAATATGGGAAAGGGCTGGATAAACACTTCTAAAATTTCATTTCAATTTAAAATCATACAATTTCAGTTTCATACTTTCAAAATCTATGTTGTTTTTTGGGATTGAATGGAATTAGTAAACCACTGAGTCTCTCAATTGCAGTGGGGTGGAAATCCATTGATTAATTACCCGAGACAGGTAATTAATATATGCAAAAAAGAAAAAAAGAAAAAGAGGAGGAGAAAGGGAAGGTAAGCCCTTAAAATACATCTCCTACTTTTTATACAAAATTACTCTTATGCTTACATATATTTGTTAAACCTTCTTAAGCAATTAAACTACTAACACATCAATCTGTTCACTCGATAGTAAAGAAAAAGAGAAACTAAACACAGCAGCTAAATGCCCACAAATCTGGATAACTTTGTCTCAAAGGAATAAATTGATCTATTGATGGGCAGCTTGTTCAGCACAAAATGGGTGCTCAGAGACCAGAATGTCAAGAGTGGGATTTGCATGACATTTGCATGAAGTTCTCACAGGTAACAGGATAAAGGGAACTCCAAAGATAGTGTACTGGTGCTGAACAAAAACCCCCACCACAAAAATCTGCTTGAGACTGACTTAGAAATTGAATCATGAGTTGTTTCTTCAGTTTTCTTTCCCTGTGAGAACAGGGCAAGGTTATTTAGATTATAGGTGACAAGAGAATTGAGAAAATGAGCTGTTATGTTTAGAATAGAATAGAATAGAATAGAATAGAATAGAATAGAATAGAATAGAATAGAATTATTTATTGGCCAAGTGTGATTGGACATACAAGGAATTTGTCTTTGGTTTGATGCAGGAATCCAAATATATTAGATACAGGTAAAGAGAATAAGATGATCTTTGCAGTCAACAGCTGGGTACATCTGTCTTTTTCCAGGATCTTTACGAAACTTTAAAGGTTAAAGTGTGTCCCTTGAAAATTTTGAAAACAATCCCCAATTGTTAACATGCATCCAAATACATAAAAAGTAATTGGCTCTTCATATCTGGAGTGCTCACTCAAGCACCCTGCACCAAATAGAACAAGTCTATTTCTTCTTCTGATCCTTCCCCAAATTACAAGTTGTATACTGACTCTCATCTGTCACAAAGCCACTGCACTGGTCCATCTTTCACCAGAACCAGATGTTGCATTCTCCACGAGATTCAGATGAGAGCCTCATTAGAGGAGCCATATGCTGGCATGGAATTATGGGAGGTGACGATATCCCCTTTGTAGCTATACAAAAGCTTTGCCTCTCCGGTGCCCCCAAGCTTTGAAGGGGACCTCCTTCTGTCATCCTGGCCATCATCATCTCTTGCTTTTCAGGGGCAGACAAACACAGTCCGAGGCACTCATACACCAAGCTAGCCATAATGTGGTTTGTTATTTGTCTGCTTGGGGGAAATCCATAACAAGAAAGAAATTGGGTTATGTGAAACTCAAAAGGATAAGATTTGTACATCATGCTATTCCAGGACAGAGGAATTTGCCCCCAAACCTTCCTTCATCATAGGTCAACTTCTGCACACTTTCCTCCATCAAGGAAAGCATCCAAAGAGTGAATCCAGTTTTCTTGGTCTGGTTGGGTTCTTTCTGTATTTTTTTTTTTACTGCAAAAAAAAAAGGTTCGTGTGTCCCTTACTGGAGAAATCCCATCAAAATGAAGTTCTCCAGAAGCTTGCATACGTCTTCTCCAACTGGGAAGCTGTAACCTTGTTCCTGGATAGAGAATTATGTATGTCCCTTTGAAGCAGTGGGCAATAAGCAAGAACCCTGAAGCTACTCAAACATAGGAGCAGAAGGTAAAGCGCTTGTGATGGATCCTACTTCAAATCTCACTCTTTGATATTGTCTGGTTCCCCAGCACAGCTTCCTACCCTGCATTATTGCACAAACACACAAACCAGATTATAGATATTGTGTGAGCACAGGTAGTGGGAGAAACTGGGAGGACCATGGCAGTTTTTAGTGCACTTGATGAAATTTTCTGAAGTTCTTCAAGACTATCTTTGCCAGGCTTTGCTTAACCAAACATTCTCACCAGCATAAGCCAACAATCCAAAGACAAGCCTCAACCAAGAGTTCAGTCCTAAACTGTGGTTTAAGATGTTGGGAGGGACTCTTGACTTCTTTGCCCCTTTAACATCACATTGTCCACAGTGAAGTTGAGGAAATGATCTTCTTGAACTCCTAACCTCGTCACAGCAAAATAGAGATGTACTTTAGATAGTTTTTCAAATTTATGTAGCGCTTTTTTGCACAATCCTGCCAGAATTTTTTTCTCAAAGTCACATCAGATAAGATAGCAGGAGCTTCTTTGCCAGGTGGAATCGTAAACTGGAAAAGTCAATAGAGAGGAGTAATTTTGGGAACTCATCTGGAGGGAAGTTAAGGGACCTCCTCTTTTTTCCTAGGATGCATGTGTGAGTTGCTGCAGCTATGCATTTTTGAAAATACATACACCCAATGGAAAAATATTACCCAGGCAAAAGTAGTCTACCATTAAATAAGAAATTGTTAAGGAATTCCTAGAAGCATCCCCATTAGATTCCTTAAATAACAAAAGCAGCATCTACAGACTACAATTTTGCATAAGCAAGATCCCATTAATTGAAGCACACTGCTGAAGTGAAGGTTGTGCATTGTTCCTTTTGCCACCAGAATAATCCATCTTTTTCTTTTCAGGGGAAAAAGAAGCATTCTATTTTTTTAATTTTTACATTATTGTGTGATATTGCAATGTTTGCTGAATCATGCACATATTTTTCTTTCGCATAAGGTACAAATAAAGCCAGTGTCTGTTGCATTGCTGACAGAAACATCTAGCAGACAGCAAATTCAATGTTTGCAAAAACCACATAATAATGTAAAATAAAAAAATTGGACTTACCCGAGCCCTTAGTGGGTGTGCATGTGGGCCATTATGACAGAGAAAAGAGGCCCATTGAGATTGGCATTTGTAGAACTTGGAAAAAGGAAAACAAAACCCTGTTGTTTAATGACAAAATAATTCATGGCCCCTTGGATCTGAGCTTTCAGAGGACTTCTTAGTTGGAGGAGGAAAGAATATGGACAGAGTAGCCAAGATGGAGTTCTGAACAAGTAGTAGACATGGAGGACAAAGTTGGCTCCGCTTGTTCTTTTCCATCTCCCATATCAACCCCACCAGCTGAGAAGATTGGAAGAGGAAGGAGACATGGACAAAACCACTGTCCAAGATGGAAGCTCACAGAGGATCATAGGAGAGAAGGGAAGAACTGAGGAGAGAATGGAAGGCAGACCTGGCCAACACATCCCTTATGCCAAGTTGCTTTGAGAATAAAAAGGCAGATTAAAGGCTGTCCTACAAATCAGTTTTAAATCTTTCTCTGCCGGAAAATCCAGTCACTAAACTCAGACAAGTCTCTGCTTCTGTATTATCTCAGATAACACCTTTCCCTCTATTGCTTCGGTATGCAGACCTGGGATGCAGAAGTATTTATTAGAAAAACCTCACCTGCCCTTAAGTGCACCGGCCCCCAAAGGGAAAAAGAATAGTAATAATTATAATAATGACGACGAGGATTTAAAAACCTCTGAAGATTCCTGTTCTGCAATTTTTCCCATTGCGGTGAATCCAACCTGACTGAAGAGAGTTGAATTTGAAGACAAGACAGGAAGGGCCAAGAGAATAATTATTTCTGATGCAAAATGTTCAAATCTGGGTGCCTTCTGCTAGGCACCTAAATCCATATATAGGCACCCAAGCATAAATGGACCCATTTTTAGAGGACTCCTTAACGGGAGGAGAGGGTGCCGCTTATTTTTGCAGGTGCTCGAATATAAATTTAGGTGCCTACCTTTGGACTTCCAACTTTGACATTTTCAGTCTGATTCTGAACTTTCCTGAGCCTCATTTTCTCCGTCTGTAAAAAACAGAAGGGAAAACTTGCTTACTCGCTTTGGACATCGGCCAAGGTGGGAAATATGCATACAAACAGAAAAAAAGGAGAAAAGAAAAAGAAGAAATGTGGCAGAATTGGTCACTCACAAAAGCAGCAAAGAAAAGGTGGCCAGTTCCATAACCACACTGCCCATAATACGATTTTGGATGGAAGTGAAGAAAAGAAATGGGTTTTGATGTCTCAGCCATCAGATGAAAAAAATAAAATTAACCATCTGAATTCATCTCATGCATGGATTTTTGAAGAGAGGATTACATCTATAATATAAAAAAGGAGGCAAAAGGTTTAACACAAAGGAACAACACAATATATATACATTTTTATCATGCATGCTTTTTAATCATGCCATCTTTCTAGAGCCTCAAAGCAGGGCTGTTCCTGCAACATCTCCTTGTTTCTTGCCATGGATTGATTGTCCAAGACTTCAATGAGGATAATATCATTTCTCATTTGGACACATAAAAGGTCCGATGGGCCCCTGGATCTTTTGACCTGGCTTCAGTTGCAGGAACAGGGCTTCAGGACTGCGAAATGCAACCATTGAATAACAACTGGGCTCCTTCATTCCAAGGATGGCTTCTGCTCTTTATGGGTTTCCTCTCTCCTTACCTCATCATTTATAGTGAAACGCGAAGGCTCCTGTCTGCTACGGTTGGATCGTCTCACCCCGTAAACATCGGGATACTCTTCCCACATCTGCAAAATAAATCAAGCTGGTGTTTGTATTTTATTAAGGGACACGAAGGGCACTCAGAAGAAAATCATCCATTCCTGGAGGTCTCCAGTGATGTAGGTTGGGCTACTTGACTGAACAAATTGGATGTTGGACCATCTGTTAAGTTGCAGAACAGAAGATTTATTCAAGCCTCTACACAAGGATCTAGACAACTCAAGTTCAACACTAAATGGAATTCAGGAGAGGTTGAACTTGGACTGTTCGTGGGAATGTAATGATTCTAAGCTGATGACATGCTTAACTCCATCCCCCAGCTCTGCCTGCTCTTCTCCTAAATTAGATCTTTCTTGAGGCATTGGGATAGAAGTCATAATGTTTTAAACCAACATTCAAAACATTATCCTCCGAAGACACACAAGTCCCAATCAAGCAAAGTTATCACTCCTTTCACCACTCAACTTTCCCAATTTCCCAAGTTATCCCCACTTTTAGCAAGGCAAGGCCGTACTTTTTTGACATCAGCTAGCCTTTCTTTCTTGGATGCTGGTTTCTCCTTAGCTTCCAGAGGGGTCTGCCGAGATTTGGATGCTGTGGATCCACTCTCTGATTCGGATTGACTTCCCGAAGACTCAGAACTGCTGTTGGATTCACTTCCATGTTCACTGCCTTGCTCGCTGTCTGACTGGCTCCCCGAGTCGGAACCCGAGCCCTCTTCAGACGCCGAGTGACTGTGGAGAAAAACAGCGAGATTTTGTTTACCCTCAAGGATATACAATACAATACAATAGCAGAGTTGGAAGGGACCTTGGAGGTCTTCTAGTCCAACACTCTGCCTAGGCAGGAAACCCTATACTGTTTCAGACAAACGGCTATCCAACATCTTCTTAAAGACTATAGCAGGTTATCTTTTGAGCTCCCCCAAAATATGGTATGGTCTAATTATTTTCTTCTAGCAATATTTCTTCACAATTAAATGGACTTCATTATCTTGGTCCTCATACTTCCATCATGAAATTTATTATTTATTTACTTTATTTACGTAAAAAAATTATATTGCCACCTCTTGCATAGGGCGACTCGAAGTGATTTACTGGCATCCATATTTTTGTGGGATCTGCTTCAAGCTTTCCCCAATTCAGAGGCAGTTAACTGACCTGAAAGTTATAGCTTATCTCTTTTTTGGGATTGAGAAAGAAGAGGACACTCAGGTTTGGAAAGCTCACCTACTGATAGGCTGAGCCATTTTAGAGGTTTCAAATGTGCTAGGTCAGTGTTGGCGAAACCTTTCGGCACTGAGTGCTGAAATGTGAGCATGTGCCAGAAACCAGTGTGCCTGTGCGCACTGGGAAGCTGAGTTTCTGGCGCACATGTGCACACAAAGATCAGCTGGCGATTACGCATGTGCGTGCCAGAAACAGGAAGCTTAGCTTCCCAGCGTGCAAATATGTGCCGGGGAACTGCTCTTCCGGTTTCTGGTGCTCCCATGTCCATGAAGACCAATGGACAATGGCTGGCATGCTTGGAAATATGACTGTGTGCCACTTCCAGCATGCGTGCCATAGGTTTGCCATCATGGTGCTAGGTTTACACTACATGTTAACACACAGAGATCTCCAGAAGCACACCCATATATTCACTTCTTGGATGAATTATGATATAAGCAGTTGATTTTTCTGGAGGAACTTGCTCTGGTCAAGTCTAATAATCACAGAGTCTAGGGAAGGAGAAATCAGAATTTTTGATATTCCAGGATCTCTGTGATCATAAGGTTTTGTAGGAAGAGGCCAGGTTCCTGAAAGGTCTACCTTCCAGAGTCATCTTAGTGTATAAGACAGAAACCGGGTCCATAAAAAGTCCTAGAAATCCAGCAATATTGTCTTACGTCTGTTGCATGAACCAAATCACGTTACTATTATATGATTTATTTCTTTGGACACTTACAAGTCATGTGAATACAGCAGCTAAGTTTTGTGAAGCTGGGTTTCATGTTTTGTGAGAAGATCCTGCAGTTTCTGCGACGAAAAGCCCATAAGATTGCAGGGTTTATGGAAAAAGACCATCCCAAGCAATCAGCCCTAGCAATTGTCCTTGCCACTCCACCTCAGATGATGTGCATCATTTCAGTAACTTCATTGTCAATTCTAAGGCTGGCTGCTGGACTGTTTCATATTAGTCTGGTTTTATTCAATTTTAGTCCATTTTCCCCTCACAGGGCTCCTTGCCATTCATTACTAGAGCTGACTGATCATTTGCATTTTCAGCTAACAAGGTGCTGCTGTCAACCACATAGCAGAGAGGCCGATGCTTCTTCCACTAATTTTAAAACCACATTCAAAGTGTGTTATAAAACAGCCTGGTCTAAATGTTACTCGATACAAAACAATAGCAATAAAAGCTCAAAGGCTAAGCCGCTGGAGATAAATCAACACTAATACCAATGTATAGGCATGGATTAGGCCAGGCTGTTTCTTACAACTATTAAAAGCAGCAGTTTTTCTCTTGCCTTAAGTAGATTTCATCAAGAAAAGAATCTCGTAAAATCCCTTCAAAAAGGAAAAAAAAATACCTTGGATGAGTCAATTAATTCAGTGGTAGGAACTGGACTGAAGAATTAAAAAAGAAAGAAACTCTGCCAGGTTTTATCTTGTGGTAAAAAGGCAATAATTCCAGAAGCAGGTCTCTGAGCCGAGCACATGACACAATCATTTGGTATGTCCTGCAGGGCATTAGAGCCTTTATTTTACTTTAAAAGGTGTGAAAAGCAAAACATGGAAAAAGCAACGGAGTGAAATTAAAATGCATTTCTTTAGGAAACTGGCAGAGGGCAGCAAGAAAGCAGGAAAGAGCAAGCTTTGGGCATGCAGTCGGAATCCATTTTGAAAATGTGATCTGCAAATAAAGCCACCATTTTACGGCACTCCCTGCATTGCTCCCTCTTGAGCAATTCCAGAGAAAATAAAGCCATTGCTAAAAGCACCCTGAGGTAGAAGAAGTTTGGAAAATGCTGGGGCTTAAAAACAAAAGGGTTGCCAAAACAGAGCGAAGGTTTAACCTTTCTTTTCAGGGATTCAGACACTTGAATGAACACAACAACAAAAACAAAGCAAAGCAAAAACGAAAACAAAACAGCCAGCCTTTAAGCTTTCTTGAGAAAGGGGGAAGAGTGTTAAATTATAACTAAATTGAACTGAATAAAGTTTACCTGTCCTGCCTCTAGATATTTTATGTGGTGTCAGAAAAGAGCTGGAAGGGACCTGGGAGGTCATCTAGTCCAACCCCCTGCTCAAGCAGGAGACCCTATAGCATTTCAGACAAGCGGCTGTCTAAATCTATCCTTAAAAACCCAAAGTGGTGAAGCACTTACAACTTCCAAAGGCAAAAATGACTTTAGCATTTGCTTTTGCTGTTGTTTCTGATTAGGGAAGCGGGGAAATGGCCCAGGTTTTGTGGCCTTTTAGTCTGAGGTAAAAACTCCCAAGGTTTTTTCCCTTATGTTAACACAGTACAATTCTAGCATTATCCAAGCTGGTTCTTCAGATCTTGTAGCCCTGAAGTGGGGACAAGCTTGTAGGCAGGGTGGATAAAAATTGATGATTTAAAAATAATAATAATAATAATATTTTTTTAAAAAATTGTTTAAATTTAAATCGGATTTCTTTAAATTTTTGCTAAATGTATTTTAATAAAATGCCTTTGGAGTCAAAATCTATCTAGTTTTCTGTTTAAGATACATTCATAATTTAGCTTATTCAGCATGAAATGGAGCTTAGCTATGTAGCATGAGGCTGTATATTCTGCCATATTGGGACTGTTCAATGAGTCAACGGCGGGTCAGAGGAGGAGCCGCTGTGGGACAGAGATGACAGTTTCTTTTCAAAAATTACGATTTAAATTGAGTTGATTTAAATCAAGACGTTTTACTAGTGATTTAAATTGGGATTTAAATCGATTTGCTTTAAATCTAATCCACCCTGTTTATAGGCCTCGCTTCTACTAATCTTTAAATCCCTAGGAAGACCACAGCTAGAGAACTGCATCCAGTTTTGGTCACAACACTGTAAAAAAGATGTGGAAACTCTAGAAAGAGAGCAGAGAAGAGCAACCAGGATGATTAGGGGACTGGAGCCTAAAACATAACGATGAATGGTTACAGGAACTGGGCCTGGCTAATCTAGTGAAGAGAAGGACCAGAGGAGACATGATAGCAGTCTTCCAATATTTGAGGGGCTGCCCTAGAGAGGAGGGCAGTCAAGCTATTTTCCAAGGCACCCAAAGGCCAGTCAAGGAATAATGGATGGAAACTGACCAAGGAGAGATTCAACCTAGAAATAAGGAGAAACTTTCTGATAATGAGAGCAATCAACCCATGGAACGAAAGTTGCCTTCAGAAATTGTGGGAGCTTCATCACCAGAAGCTTTCAAGAAGAGACTGGGCTGCCATCTGTCAGAAACGGTGTAGGGTCTCCTGCTTGAGGGGGGGGGGGGGGGTTGTTGGACTAGATGACCTACAAGGTCCCTTCCAACTCTATTAATCTGTTAGTAATCAAGACACTGCACATTCTTCAGTTTTAGAAGATTTTCTGCGCTAATTCAAGGCAGAACAGAACAAAGCAGCAGAACCAGGAGTGGGTTCCTGCCAGTTCTATAGAAGAGGTTCCACAAATCTACAGTGCCGTTTAGAACCGGTTCCAGCTCCCTCTCCCTGCCCGTCCGCACATCATCAAGATAAGAGCGAGAGGAGGAATTCTGGGAGTTGTAGTCCACAAGTCTTAAAGCTGTCAAGTTTGAACACCCCTGGGGTTTTTTTTTCTAAAGGGTTAGGGGTGAAGGGTCTGGTAACTTGACAGCTTTAAGACTTGCATACTTCAATGCCAGAGTTCCTGAGCCAACATGACTGGAGGAGGAATCCTGGGAGTTGAAGTCCACAAGTTTTAAAGCTGTCAAGTTTGAACACCCCTGGGGTTTTTTTTTCTAAAGGGTTAGGGGTGCAAAGGTCTTGTAACTTGACAGCTTTAAGACTTGCGTGCTTCAAATGCCAGAGTTTCTGAGCCAACGTTTTGGTTGCTAAGCAAGAGCGTTGTTAAGTGAGTTTCACCACATTTTACAAGTTGGCCACGCCCACCCCATCACATGACTGCCAAACCTCCCCCGCGCTTTCAGGTGGCTGGAAAGCCACTCCTACCTAGTCACATGGCCAGCAAGCCACTCCCACAAAGCAGACCACACTTACAGAAGAGGTTCTAAAAAATTTTGAAACCCACCACTGAACAAAACTAATTGGTAAAGGAAAATTAGTTAGGAGCTGAAGGTTGGGCTAGCTGAACCCACTTAACACATTTTCTAATGAAGGCAGATTTGAGTCCTTAGAGAATTCTGTCCCTTGGCAGCATCAAGCTTCAAGAAAGACGAGCTGCTCATGTTTTCTTTCAGATCATATATGGCCAGGGTATCAAACTCAAGATCCGCAGGCAGGATGTGGCCTGTAGGCTGCTAAGATTTGGCCAAAGGGCTGGCCTGGAAATATCAAAGAACTGGCCCATGGTGCCTCTGCCAGCCAAAACAGGCCACATGGGGGCTGTGCAGGACCCTGCACGACCTGTTTTTGGGCTCCTGCAGCACTCTGCCAGCTGAAAATGAGCCGGGAAGAGAGGGGCTCATTTTGGCTGGCAGAGAGTTGCAGGAGGCACCACCTTCTTCACCTTCTTTTTAGCAGCATCTGCCAACCAAA